CTTTACGGCCCCCGAACCCCACATAATTTGTGTTCATCCCATTGGTTTCATGATAACAATTAACATATTCATAATAGCAAATATTTTTGTTAATCAGATAAGAATCAGTGTGACAATAAATTGCATTTAATCAGAGAATCTTTTTATATACTGTACCATATATTTTTTGGCAGAAAAACACTGGTGCAATTTTGAATTTTTAATGCATAATGTTTTAAAATATACTTTAAGGTCTCTTTTTATGCGGATTATTTTTATGCGATTTTTAAGTTGTGCGGTTTGTATTTCATCCAAAAATTTCTTGGACAAACATACATATAGGCTTGTTTAGGAAGCCCGCGTATAGACAGTCTCCAAAAATCGTGGAACGCTCAAAGCTCACTCCATTTGTTCCACTGACATATAACGTTTATGGATGTAAAGGACAGCTAGATCTACCTTAATCGCTTTAGTTCCTAGCAATTTTTGATATAAATGTAATTAAACATAAAAAATACTTAAAACTGAAAAAAAACGAAAGAAATGCGTTAATTTTGAAGAAAAAGCTTCAAAGTTTAACTTCCTTTGTCTCACCCTTCTGTGAAATTTAACAGCAATGAGTCATTGTTTACACATCTGGATGACCTTGAACACAGCTGGAGTTGGATTTCCCGGGGCATTCTCAGACGTCACGGGAGGACAAGGGTTTAAAGTAGGGTGAACACTAGCTGGCCGTATATTTTTAAAAAAATTGGAGACTTAAAAAACATTCCAAAAATTCAAAAAAAAAAAAATTTCAAAAAGCCTTAAGGACCGTGTTTTATGTAACGCTATCTAACCTGCCGGAGTTAACTCGGGCGAGGAACTAAAGGGGTTTTAATTAACTCTTCACATCCAAATGTTAGTGATTTGTTTTTAGAGTGAGCTTTTGCAATTCGGGATTCCCCTTGTACATCATACTTATCATCGACAAGTCGCTATTACATCATTCTGAGTTTCGCATTAAAAGGTATAAACTGTAATTTTTAGCGGTTTTAAGTTAATTTTAACTCGTTGTTTTGGTTTTATGCGATTTTACAAAATTACGGAACGTATCCCTACTTTTTCAAGGCAAGTAAAGTCTTTTTTTATGCGAATTTTTTATATGCGCTTTTCTGTAGAACGTATCCACCGCATAAAACGAGACCTTACAGTATATGGAAGAAAACCAAACAAAATCATTAATTTTTAGAAATTTTTGGCTTGAATTTTTAATGCACCAAATTAAAACTTTTAATTCTCTGCCCAGTGGAGACTGCATTTGTAAAAATTCCTTGGCCTACTGGTGGCTGAGCGAATAAACCATTGAATACTGGTGGTTGGTTGTGGGTTTGCTCCTGACCAACAGTCTAGCTGCATGAATACCTAAATAGGGCCAGTTTTCCATAGGAAACCCTTCTAGGAGACACCTGTCCCTTGGCAGTTGGCCCAATTGCTGTATTGTCTTATTTCATCAATCCCAATAAAAAATTCTTAGGATTGTTCATCGAGGTTCGATCCCGGGTTCCCCAGAGTGGCAAGATGACACCTTGGATGATGATTTCCAGCGGAAAATTCACCCAATGTTTTTTAATACGAAGTCCTTATAAGAGTTAAGTAATTCGATGGGAGGGATCCGAGTTCGATTTTCGTTTCTATAGAATTTAAATTAAACTCGATATTCAAGAGCATATCTTCCACTGATTATAGAGAAGCTAACAATTTGAATATTATTATTGTTAGAATATGAGAAAATTACTTTAATCCCGAAACTCGTGGATAGATAATGCCAATTGTGACATTGTTCTGATGTGGCATCTGTAACTTAATTCTGAAAATGGAATGCATCCTAGGTGGGCTTTTATGAGAACTGACCTCTATTTAAGTTTAACAAACGTGAAGAAAACATGGGCCAGTCCATTGGCAAGGTGCGAACCCACGACCTTGTTCAGTGATTTTATTCACTTGGCCACTAGTGGGACCTCTGGATATATCGGGCCAGTTTCTCATCATCCGGTCCACCGAACCCATAATGAGCTCGCTAAAAGGCCCTCTTAGTGTCCACAGGGCGGGAAGAGCAAAAAAATCAATCTTATCTGTTATTTAAGTGAAAACTGATCCATTTACGGCACCACATTTTCCCTAGTGGCAATTTTGAAATTATATTTTCCAATGAAACGAACAACTCTCCAACGATGCTAATACATTAATCGTATCTTTCGAGGTAATTTAAATGAAAACTGATCCATTTGTGGCGCCATATTTTCTCTAGTAGTGATTTTCAAATTGCATTTTCCAATGAAATTCTGCCTTACATGTTCTCAGAAGTGCATTACTAAAAATTTCCTTTGATACTTTTCGTATGAAACCACAAACAGACTTAAACTGTTTTTAATTCTCATATAAATAAATATTAAGTACATAATTCCTCAAAAATTAAAAACCGCCATAAAGATGTGGGTTCGAATCTCACTCGTTATAAAAGTATTTCTTAACATTTTTTTAATTGTTTTGCAATGGGATTCAAACCCGCATCCGCAGAAGCCATAAATTACACTTCTACTTATGTCTTGGTTTCTTAATATGTTTATTAACTAATAAACATTTAAGACATACACCTAAACTGCCCTTTTACCATTAATAAATACATTAAGTTTATGGTTTTGCTTGTGTCTTTACATTCCCATAAAATAAATAAAAGGGGTAATTAATGAATGAAAGGGTTGATAGTAAACAATGAATGAATTTTAATTGAGGCATTGACTTTCTACCCTATCAATTACAAACAACTCTCCACGAACCTAACCCGGAAATATCACCTTTCTATGGCCTAAATATTCGTTTTTATAACTGGAAATACGTTATACTACAATTACAACTTTTCTAATTACAATTAAAGGTAATTAAAATAAAGTATTATGTATTTATTCTATACAAACAAGCGCTTAATTGCCTTGACAGCAACCCAACATGTGGGAATTGGGAACTCGATACCCATTGGCTTAGGTTTTACAAACAGATGAAATCAGCACATTCTCTAAATATACAAATGACCCGTATCATTCACCCCTTATTTATCAATTTCTAATTACATCCACACGACTTTAGTGCAATTTTATATGCTGTAAAACCTGTACAAAACGGACACCTGCCTAAACGGAAAATATTCGATATCATTATTACACAGGTTTTACTGTAAATATAATGTTGCAGAGTATACAATAATTTATACTTATTAGTGTTTATTAATTCAAATTAATACTTTTTTTATCCGCCGAATTTGCAGTACAGTAAAAGCCTGTCCAAAGCGAAACCTGCCTAACCGGGAAGATTCTTAGAAACGAAGTGATTTTCCATGTTAATAAAATGACCCTGTCTAATACGAAGCCTGCCTAAATGGAAAAAAGTTCTTTAAACGGAGCAATTTTCCATGTTAAAAAAATCTTGTTTAAGACAAAATCTGAATAAAACGATAACCTGCCTAAACGGGAAGAGTTCTTCTGTGTTAAAAACACCTGCACAAAACGGAAACCTGCCAAATACCAAAACTGGAACGAATCCGGTTTACACAGGTTTTACTGTAAATTCTATCAAATTTGAAGTTAATATATGTAATTTTTTTTATACTATTTATAGCTGTAAATATGCCCTATAAACCTAAAGACCCATTAATATATAGGGCATAAATTATCTATAATTTCTTAAAACAAAAAAGCTTATTTAATTCTTAGAAAGATAATTTTTTAGATTTTTTGTTATATCATCCAATATAAATTTTCAAAGTGATGTTTTACTTTTTTTTTTAAAACTAAAGTAGGACCCATATTTATTTACACTTCTACCCTATTTTGATGAACCTTATTGATAGAAAACCTATCTTTTAGAATTTTAAAAAATAAACTATTCTCTGTTTTAACTTTTATGGGTCATAAATGGCCCATAATAATTGCAAATTTTATAAAAGTTTCTTCATAATAATTCTCAATAATACAATACAATAATTGCATTATATTATTATGGGCACTTATTATTTTATTATAGGCATTTTATATTGTTATTTTGTTATGGGCATTTTATATTATTATTTTGTTATGGGCACTTATTAATTGATTTTGTAGAATAAAGATCTTTCCAGTTACCATTACAATTTCTTTGTGTTTATTGCAGATATATGCCCATTTCTTCATAAACAATGGGCATTTTTATTGCGCCATAAATTCTCCACTATTAAAAGCATAAAATTCAATTAATTAAATGATGAATCGTCATATATTTTCTTTTTAAATTTGAATTATAAAACAAATTATCACGCATCAATCTCTTTTTTTTTTTGCACATGGCTGACACGTGTAAGACGATATTGTTACGTCGGCACATCATACACTCCCTATAGTTAAGCAGTAAAGTATATGAATAGAGGTCATCTTTATTCAAGAAAAAAATAAATGTTCAAAGTAGTGAATATTTATTGTTAAATTCACTCAAACATGCTGAACGACTGTAGACTTCAGGCGCCTTGACACGTTCACTCGTTAACTAAAAATGCAGTTTACACCGGAAACATGCCTCACCCCCCTTATAAATTTTAAAGATATTTTTTTAATCATTTGTATATTTAAATAGGTACTGTTTTAACTGTTTATATATTATTATAAAAATGTATTCTTATTATTATTATTATTTAAAATTTTAATTAGAATATTTACGAAACTAATTTTTAATTAGGAGGTGTGTGGTGCTGTGTTCAGTGATTTTATTCACTTGCCCACTAGTGGGACCTCTGGATATATCGGGCCAGTTTCTCATCATCCGGTCCACCGAACCCATAATGAGCTCGCTAAAAGGCCCTCTTAGTGTCCACAGGGCGGGAAGAGCAAAAAAATCAATCTTATCTGTTATTTAAGTGAAAACTGATCCATTTACGGNTTATTATTATTATTATTTAAAATTTTAATTAGAATATTTACGAAACTAATTTTTAATTAGGAGGTGTGTGGTGCTGGACATCTCCCCTCGTTTACCCTCCAACTTACCCAGTGGGTAGTCTAGAGGAGAGCTGCGAGGAGAGAGCAGATTTGTTCTTCATCTCAGACAGTCGGACGTACTTTTTTTTTTATCGTTTAAAATGATTACTAACGCAGTTTACTACAGTGTTCTACTTTTGCTGTTCTTAATAGGTAAGGTTTTGTTTCTTTTTTTTTTTCGCTTCCTCAGTGCGTATAGTGTATTTTAAATGTCACCCTGTCTGCTTATTATTATTTTTAATTATTCTAATTAAACAATAATTCTGTATTGTTAGAAAATATATTTAGATACTAGTTTAATTAAGTATACGAGTGCTTTCATGTGTTGGTGATTAAATTGTTTTTGATTTTCCCGCCCCAGCTGCCTGTTTCTAACTTTAAACTTGCATTTCCTGTGTAAGGTTGTTAAAATCTTGCTCTCCCTTCTGTAGAATAGTGTCATTGTATGGCTCCTCAAAACAGTTTTCGGTGGGGGGAGATATTCTTGACGTGGTGCGCGCACAAACACACAAAAAAAAACCACCTCCCCTTCACTATAGAACTAGCGTACAGTACATCCAGTGTTGTTAATCAATAACAAGTGTTAAAATTTATATGCATTATAAAGTAAGAATATTTAATTAAAGAAAATATTTTTTAATTTTCAGTAAGTGTCGTGAAAATCAGTGTTTTTTGGCAACCATCTCGTCTACCAGTTCACCCAACTGCAATGTCGTAAATCGTAAATAGAACTGATAAAAAGAGGGATTTCTTTCCTTTAGAAGAGGGTTTTATGGAAATAAGAAAGAGACGTTTAAAACGAAGCAAAGAACTACTATTAAAATTAGAAAATTCCTTACAACAGAATAGTGAAATATTTAAAAATACTATTTTACCCACTTTTAGGAAGAATTTAGAAATAGAAAATTCGGGGATGTTACCTTCTAAAATTGTAAAGACTAAAAATATCGAAAGGGGTTCGGGACTGTCTACGAACCTTTTGCAATTAGTACAACCAGTTGAGAAATTCGATGCTTACTTCCGTGATATTGAAAATTCGGGTATAAGATCGGGTTTCGTGGAAAGCTCGGGCACTTCAGGATTCGGTCAGGATTATTCAGGAAGCGCTTCGTCCGGTTTAGAGTTTTCTGGTGTTGGATCAACTAGAGAACAGGAAGAAAGTGGGTCGGGTGGTTTCCCATTCGAAACCTCTCCCTCTTATAAAACTGTAAATAGTTACGACCTTCAGAGCACTGAAACTATAGGGGAGGATCATGTGCTTAGTACAAACGTTTTGGAAGCTGATGCCACTACTAACGAAACGATTCGCTCAACGATTCAGGTAACCAGCAGCGAAGAAAGTACACTTATAAGTACTTCTATTGGTGTTATAAAAGAGTCTAGTATAGAAAGTGGTACCACAGAAAATCTCCCGTATTCTAGCGAGTTGGAAGCCGAGTTTTCTGAAACGACAGAATCGCCTGATTCTGATGATTTACAGACACCTAAACTGCAGGATACAGGGAACACGTACGAAACTTCGGAAGTAACTGAAAAAATTCCATTTTCGACTGCATCTGTAACTGATTCGGACCCGAAAACATCAACTTCTAGTGAAGAAATTGTTACTTCAGAGACTATCAGTTCGACTGCTTTAAATGTAATTGAAAATTTCACGTCGTCCATGTTGGACGATATGAAAGACCGACATTGTTCTTCAACAGTTCAATGCGATGTTCAACTTAATGAAAGGTGTGTCAACGAAGAAGGAACGGGTGCTTGTCAATGTGGAAAGTCATTCATTAGGAACGTTGAAACCAGAATGTGCGAAGGTAAGTTTATATCTAAATTATATATCTAAAACTAGTACTTAGAATGATTATAAGATAATATTTAAACTGCGGAATGTGGGTATAAAGGACTAAGTTGAATCAAATATTAGGGGCATTGCGAAGAGTAATTAATATATACGATGAAAAAGGAGTGTGTGGCATAAGTTACATAAATTCTTTAAATTGTAAGACTTGAGGGATTGAAAAAAAGTTAAATTTCAGCGTAGTTCGTAATGAAAGTAAAATTTATATTTTATTACTCATACAATGCGACTGCCGGATGATCGAGGTTGTGGTATTCGGGATCGAATTCTGGCGAACTTCCCCCCCCGGAATCATTCTGTCCCGGATATTTGGGGTTCCGCCCTTCACTTCCCGTTGGTCCTCGTGGGCCTAGCCGAACTCACGATGAGTATGGGTAAAGCCCTTCTTAATGCCCTCGAGGCAGAAAGAGCAAAATATGAAAAAAAAAACATTAATATTTTCATTATTTCAATTGATTTAAAATTATTTGGAAATTAACACACAAATTATAAATATCTCGATGTCAATCGGTAGTTTAATGGCATAATCATGCCATTTTATTTGCATATAATCATTTTGCAATTTTTTTTATTCGGAAAGATAATTACCTATTGTTAAAATGAAAAAATTTTGATGTTTTTCTTCGAGGTTTATTGCTGTCGGACATGATACAGTAGAGCCATTCCGATATTCCCACTTAAAAACAAGTTTTAGTTGTTTTGTTGAACGATTACTTGCCTTTTTAATTGAGCTGGCACTAACTAAATACAATTTAAAGTCGGTACATGCTCAATATAACTATTTGGCATTATAAAAAACAATTACAAGACAATAGAGGTGATTGGTTCACATCAAAATTAAAATCTATCTATTTTAAGTGATTGGATCCTTACTATAAAGATTGGATGCATTTTTTTGGATTTTAATGGGTTTTTTTGTCATAAGAATTTTAGTTCTGTAATAATTTCGTGTAATAATATAAATTACGTTTTAAATTTTGTTAAAATTTACTTAAAAATATGCAGAGAAATAGCTTAATCTAGTGGGTCATTAAGTTATTAGTAAAACTAATTTATATATTACTATATAAATTACATTTTACATGTAACTTTAAAGTTATAATTGATATTATTAATTATATATAAATTATTTAATTTAGGTATTAGTTATATAATAAAGTATTTGAGCCTATACATATGCATTCATCAGTTAAGTTTTTCCGGTCGTATCGACGTTCTTCCAGTTCTTTGACGAATTATTTGTATAGAAACAATAAACAAACGTGTATATTTACAGTATTGTATTGCTGACATGTCACAAACAAGTGATTTCTGGAAATAGATTCCCTGTGGAAACCTACCCATCTGTTTATGCTCTGTTAAAAATAATTCGGTTTAATATGAAGTTACTAAATTATTTTATTCGTATATTCGTTGCTTTAAAGGATTAAAATAATGAAAAATGATAAAACTCATCACGAATATGCGAACATTTTGACTAATTTTTAGCGGGTTTTACATACCTCCACACTAAAATATCCAGCAACAAGTTGCTTAACTTTCTCAGCAACATTTAGTGGCATCATCTGTTATATTTTATTTTAAACTTTTTATATTTTTAACTACAGTATTATAAAATGGCAGAGCTTAATTTTGAGGGTAATGATGAGTTTTATAATAAAAAAAAATGTANTTGCTTAACTTTCTCAGCAACATTTAGTGGCATCATCTGTTATATTTTATTTTAAACTTTTTATATTTTTAACTACAGTATTATAAAATGGCAGAGCTTAATTTTGAGGGTAATGATGAGTTTTATAATAAAAAAAATTGTAAATGCTAATAACCAGTAAAATCGTCATTAAGTCTGACCCTATTGGAAATACATACGTCCCTCTTTATCTTCCCACCCCAAAGACCTTTAATCACCAGAATTTAATAGCATAGATTCCCTAATACACACACCTCCCTGCAAAATTTCAGAAATTTTTTGACAAAAAGTAAGAGGTAAGCTTCAAACACAGTGAATAAAATTGTCCCCCCTCAGAAATTGCCCTCAATTTTTTTTGCATTTCTCGATGTTTCAAGTTGTCATGAGTCCAAAAATATAAACATCTGGTGGGGGGGTTATTTTTTGCCGGGTTGCCATACTTTCCCTGTGTTATAACCAGTATCGTAATTAGGCAGGTGCAATAGGTGCACCCGCACAGGGCCTACTTGGAAGGGGAACCCAAAATGCTTGTATTTGTTTTTATTATTTTCCCAAACCTAATTAAGGGGTTTAAATGCAAATTTTTGCACAGGGCATAGGAATGGCCAGTTATAACAGCCGGGAATGTAATTAGAAAACATCAAATATATAGAACTTAATCTGAACAATGACTCGATGAAATGTTTTAGCGTATCAAAATGGCGTATCTTACAAGTACACACACTTCTGGTGGCCTCTCTTGCTGCTGTTTCTTATTCTATTGGCAAAAAAAGGCAATTTCCTGAAGCCCTCACTGATAGGGGTTTCCAAATTAATATTTTATAATTAAATTTTTCCCAAAAATTCTCCCGAAGAAAAATGTAACGTAAACACTGTACTGTACATGAGGTCTCCCTAATTCAAATTTGCCTGGGCGCTCATGAAGCTATAACGCGCCACTGATTATTTTGTGAGAGAGAGATAAGATTGTTTACTTTAAATCTTAATAACTCCTGTGCCTTTTCTGTCGGAAAATTTCTGAAATTTTGTAGGATTATTTGTGTATTAGGGTCATTGATACTATTATATTTTAGTGTTTAAAGGTTAAGGGGTGGGAAAATAGAAGGAAAAATCACTCGAGTTGTCGGACTTAATGGAGATTTTACTCGTTATTAGCATTTACACTTTTTTTTATAAAATAAAAAAAAAGCTCTTTTTTTGCCATTGTAAAATAATTTTTATATAAAAACTTTTTAAGTAAAATAACAGATGGCGCCACACGCAATTTTAAATGCTGTGGCCGGGAAAGTTAAGCAACTCTGCTGGATTTTATGTCGAGAAGAGAAATACTCAAAATCCAGCAAACTTATAAGCAATTTTACGTTGCTTGTAAGTTATCTTCTAAAAAATTTAAAAAATGAATGATCTTTTTTTTCTTAGCTAAAATAGCCTTTGTGGGAATGCTTCTATGTCCCGAGCAGCCATACTTCTCAGAGCTCGATAATCCTACTTCGAATACATTCCAAAACATGATGAAAGCGGCCGAAATTACCTTGAAACTGATCTTGGATAACTCCGAAAAATTATCCGTGGAAGAAATGCAAATTCGAGTGGTGAAATTTCATCGAGGAAGCTTAATCATTGAATGGCAATTAACAATTCCCGAATCTAAACGAAATGGAAGCTTAGAAATGATGGCCGTCGATTTCGAAGACGATTTCAGTCACGCTCTACAGCTTGTTGATGATTCGCCCATTAACATAAACAATGCGACTTTTCTAAATATATCTTCAGGTTAGTTTATTTAAAGTTACTTAACTCTTCCAAGTTTCAAGTGTAAGTATGCAAGACCAACGTGGAACGTTGGTCTTGCATACTTAACACCTGTTACAGAAAAGTTCTGGCCAGATCTAAGCCAGTTATACGTAATAGCCGGCGTAGAATAGTAAAATGTATTTTGAAACTCGTCTTTGCCCTCAAAATTAACCTTTCGCTCTTTATAATTATTACTTCCCGGCTATTATAACACAAAGTACTAGGAAATTTTTCAAAGATGGGAGGTGAAGTCTGGAGTAACATGGAATATGACAAAAGAGCGTGTTGAAATTGCTTATTTAAATATTTAAATAAGCTATTGGTCATTGTTAAAGCGAGAATTATTTATTGCCTGAAATCACTTTCTATGGCATCGAATACTTTGAGTATTTAAGCTACCACGAAGCGTGAATTTAATTTAGTCCAAACAATTCCTATTCCATTTTGCACCTGGCTGAAACTCACGATAGGTATTATTATTAAAAGGTCGTCCTATGCAGAGCGGAAAGTCAAACTCTTCTGGATCATTTGTGGTTTGCAACTAATTCTATAAATTGTCATTTCAATATTTGCAGAAGTGGATCCTTGTGAGAATGCAGAATTAAACCATTGCAGTAAGAATGCCGTGTGTGTGCTTAATAACAAATCCAATGGATACGAATGCATTTGTAAAAATAATTACATCGATGTTTCGCCTTCACCCATAAGTTATTCAGGAGAAATATGTGAAGGTATTTACGTGCCACTTTATTAAATAAATATATATCATTACTTTAATAATTATATCTTGTAATTTTAGCCATATGTCCAGAAGGATATTGTAAAAATAATGGAAAGTGCCACGTCGTTCAAAATAAACCAGTTTGCAAGTAACCGAATAATTTTCTTTACAATAAAATTACAATTTTCATGAAATTCTGCAGTAATTTGCTTAATGCTTTTACACTTTTTTTTAAGGTGCCAAAGTTTGTATATGGGAATCTACTGTCAAATTTCTGGATTGGGTAAGATTTTTTAAAACTAAATTTAAAATTTTATACAGTATATATTCTTGAATTTGATCAGTAATTAAGACATTACTCGATTAAATTTCCAGTTTTAGGATCGTCATGTGGTGGTATCATCGCCGTAGCATTTGTAATTTTAATCATCAGTGGGAAATTTCATCAGAGGAAAAAGTAAAAATTTAACTAATCCGGTAAATAATTTAATAATTAAAATATCTAGTGTATAAATTTTCGTTTAGGTTAATTCATTATAAAGACTACAAATTAAAGGATGATCTTAAAAGTAATGGCAGCACAGAAAAGTCCATAGAGTTAAAACGTCATCAATTTCATGAAGAAAAATTGCAATTTATCAGTAGTACCGTTTGAAGAAAGGTATTTTTTTTCAATTAATATTTACGAAAATATACACTTTATCACGCTTACCTCCCTAGAAAATTATTCGTGACGGTTGAATGTTTCCATTTTATTAGATGTAATCGTGTGTTTTTATATCAATTCCAGTTTAGTTTTAAGATAAATCCATTTGTGAAGATAATTTTTAAGTAAAAGTGATCCAAATTTGTAGCAGATCAGGCCAAATTATGTACAAAACGAAACCTGCCTAAACGGGGGAAATGTTCTATCGTACGTGTCCGGTCTATACAGGTTTCACTGTAGCAAGGAAATATTCCAATGAAACATTTAAACTATTAAATTTGTTAGTTGGCAGTGATGCCAACCCTTATGACTTAGCTTTATTGCATATTTATTACTATTACTTTGATAATTTGATGTCTGCAACTTAAATTTTCTTTATCTAAACGTTGAAAAGAATCAATTGATAAGCTTCAACTAAAATTATTTATAGAGAAATCTCATATTATCCGGATCTTCAATTTGTTAGATAAGACAAAACGATATTGTCAGCGTATCCAAAGTCTAATAACAATCGTAGCAATAGTCGTCCATAGGGATTAGCATAGGGACAAGTTCCCAGGCCTTTGCTGAGAGCTATGTTGAGATTCGCTGATAAATTTATGTATTGAGCTAGCAGCCTTCATAAACTACTAGCTCAATGTATAAAAGTTTGTCGGCAATGGAAGGCCCTAAGCATAGTGGGCACTTTAGAACGAAGGCCTTCTGCTTTTGTTTAAATTTCCCACAAAAATTTAGGCATAAATCAAACCATATCGGTTACAATTATCAAGTCGTAAAAAGTAGGATGTAAATACAATAAACCTGTATAAATCGGAATCGCACAATACCGAGCATTTCTTCCGGTTTGGCAGGATTCAGTTTTATTCAGGTTCCGTTTTGTACAGGTTTTACTGTATTAGAAATTAGACGGTATAGCTGAACTTCCATTGTCTAATTTCTAATACAGTAAAACCTGTACAAAACGGAACCTGAATAAAAAGGAAACCTATTTGAAATGGAAAAATTCTTTTGGAAAGGAGCAGTTTTAAGGCAGAATCTGTTTAAAGCGGAAACCTACCGAGCCGGAAAAATCCGGTATCGTGCAATTCCGGCTTACACGGGTTTTATTATATAAGAATTATACAATTATTGAATATAAAAAGGAATATATAACCTTTGTTTTAAATTCCAGGACTGATCCCTGATCTCAGAAGAAAGAAGCAAGTCTGTTGCTCCTGAAAAACCCCTTTTTTTAAAACTTGAAATTCGTGTTTATTAATTGTTCTTTTCATCACATTCACTTTTGTAAATGTTGTTTTTGTAAATAATCTTAATAAATTTATTTTCTGATTGTGATATTTTAAGATGTACATAAAGAATTTTTAAATTCTCTTTTTTTGTGAGAGTAATCTTAAATATATGTTAATAATCTAAATTGTGTCAATTTTATAAAATTTCGGAACATATGTGGATTTTTAAGCGTGTAAAGTAATTGAATTTACTTTGATTTGGGTGTAATCTATCCATTGCACAATATTCTCTCGCTAATCCGAATCAATTTTGTAAAATTACTCATATAAACTGTTAAATGGCGCTGCTAATTTACTCAAGTTTATTACAGAATATGGAGCGCTCTCTAGCTGAAGCTTGAAGTTTTATTTATAAAGGTTCTTGGGGGGATTTAGATTGGTTTCATATTTCTCTTCCAAGCTAATATTTATAAATGACGTTAATCTAGTCCTCTAACTCCATAATAAAATTACGCTAGTCCGAACAAGAAACACTAGATGGACTATTCAAACCTGTCGTGGGTTCGACCGATAGAACAATGGGGAACTTTGTCGTGGCTTTGATTTATCAATGCCCGATTCCAAAAACACAAGCAAAATTCTGTGGGGGAGGTTGTACAGTGAAACCTGTCTATAACGGACCCTACATATAGCGAAAAACCTGATATTAAAGAAATTCTTATGTCCCTTGAAATTCTTGCAAAAAATTAGTATAAATTAACTTGTATATAGCGGAAACGGAAAGAAAAATCGGGCCATATAACGTAAACTCATTTATACATGCTAGGCTTGTAAACTTGTTAAATATAAGTTTTTTTTTTACATATTTCATTTGAATAAAATCAAGTCGAACATATTATGCACGCTTTCAAGTTTGATAAAAGATATTACGCTATTGTTCCGTCACGTGTAGCGGTTGGTTATTATTCTGTCGAGTGTCGAGGTACCACTATTTAATACACAAATTTCAGAAATTTTCCACAAAATGCACAGGAGTTAAGCTTAAAAGTGAGTGAAGAAAATCGTGTCCCCCATACACACTAACATATATATATGTATTTACTTAATAACGTTTTGTTAAATTTATAAAATAATTTCATTAAATTACAAACATTAAAATCCGATATTTAAACAATATATAAATTTTTATTTTAATTTTAAAATTAATGCAGGTACACGGTGACTTTACTTCATAATTACAGATGCCGGACGCAAAGAGCTAACATCTCCATATTAACCTATTAGAAGAAGAAGAAAAGCCGTTTTTGCCTTTCGTCGGCATTTTCTGTCTTCACCCAAGTGGGCCTTAAATAAGCGGTACACAGAAACCCTCTCTGCCTCTCGTACAATCCTGAAGTATACTTACATAATCACAATTTCTTCGGTAAATCTGAAAAAAACGAAGGAAAAACGTGAAATTCTCCAATAAATTTACGCTTAAACCACTTACCATAGAAAAAGCCAACAACACATTCTAACAATTAGTTATGTATTGTTAGAATATATTGTTAAGAACGCGTGACATATTAAGATCAATCATATTTTTGCGTCACATGTTAAGTAATAATGTTAATCGGTTTGAAATATTTCAGGAGTATTTTGTGTCAATGCCGAGGGGCATCCTTATACTTCGGCACCACGTGACCGAAGGGTCGACATCGCGTCGGCGAAGATCGCAATGACAAGTTTCGTCAGGACTGACACCACTGTGACTTCACGGCTAGACACAGAAACCGTTTCGTTCGGGCGTGTGAGCGAACGGGAGCGATCAGAGTCGGGATAGAAGGACAGACAGTGCACCGGACGTCAGTTACTTAGAGACATTTTAACGTAACAACTGTTTAATGGTTAACGATAGGCTATACATTTCGTTGTTAAATATACTAGGTTTTTGATACATTCCTATGATTTAATACGATAGATATTAACTATTTTTGATATTACGTTTTTTCCCGATTTGAGAGAGTGTGTTTACAGAAGTTTGGCGTGGCGATAAATACCTTGTTTCTTGTCTTGCTGGAGATTCTCGAGCGTTCTTGATGAAGGAAAGAAAGTTCGGCATGTCAGTTCGGGTATCCGGTACAGGAAGTATCGGTACGAATGATAGAACGTAAAGTATCCGCATAGGTGTTAGACGATGGTACGATTGGATGGAATACGACGATATTTTAGTAGGATATAAAACCGTAGAATAGAATATATTCACAGATATCCGAATATTGAGGTACTTAGGACAAGACACGAGTGACAACTTCTCTTTCGAAAGACGGTCGACGACTGCTTCACTTTGTTGTGGTTATTAGGTCGAAAGGTGCTGAGAAAGCGTCGTTATTAAGTTTGAGAACTTAGCAGATGTTTAGCTCTCAGGTGTAAAAGTTGACAGTTATTAAACGAAAGTATGGCTACAATTTGATCTTATGACACTATTGAATGAAAGGATATAAACGCACGGAAAGTCCGAATTCGGATCCTCACATCACCTCGGCCTTTCTAAAATCGTGCTTGTTCTCAATGGGCAAGTTCGATTTTGAATTAAAAGGTTATAATTGATTTACTCTATCTCTCTCTCTTAGGGTTACAATNTACAATGTGATCTTATGACACTATTGAATGAAAGGATATAAACACACGGAAAGTCCGAATTCGGATCCTTGCATCACCTTGGCCTTTCTAAAATCGTTCGATTTTGAATTAAAAGGTTATAATTGATTTACTCTATCTCTCTCTCTTAGGGTTACAATAAATTTATATAATTAATTTAAGAGAGATTATAAATTGACAACGAGATATTGAGTTAATAGAGTTGTAAAATTGTAAGACTAGATACATCGCGTACAGTCGCGTGTGTTGATATTTATAGTTTACAGTTATTATATTAAATACTCTCTCTCTCTCTTGTTGTTGTTGCGCGGTCAAAACAAAACCACAACAACGCAAGTATAACAAAAGTGTAAACATTTATCGCGAAAACGTAAACATCGCACGTTCAGCGCCGCCATCCAGTAAACATAGAAGTTTGAATCAAAGTAACGTGACTTCCGGTTTAAACCGGAAATTCGTATAGTTAATAGATCAGTAAGTACTCGTAAGAGAAGAAGTATCATATGCCTGTGTACATACAATAAATGACTTCGTATTTTCAATAACATCGTATACATATATACGTAGAGTAAACTTTATGATTATCCAAAATTCATTAAAGGAGACGCCTTATTATCAGTTGCCTGAAATTCCATGGTGTAGCAGTAAGAAAGAATCGAAACAGCAAGTATTTGTTCAACATAAGCAACCAACACCTAACAGATTTAGTAAAAAGCACGAATAAAAAACTAGCATACTTAGAAAATGTTTTTGAATATGAAATAGTCTTTGTGACTTTCACTTTTTCGTCTGTTATGTATAGAAATAGAAAGTACAGTGTGGAGATTGTTTCAGAATTGATTCCGAAACCTTTCGTGAATCTGTAGGTTTTGTGACTCCTTGAACAATAAAAGACAATAAAAGGCAAAATAGTTTAGTAGATATGTGTGTGTATGTTGGCTTCAATTTCGTTTAACTTCTCATAATAATTCAATTATGAAACGAAATTTGGCACGATAGCTTGTGTGTAAATATAGTTAATATTAAACTTTAGAGACGAACTACACGTAGCAGAGTGGCGCAGTAATCTGCAAACATATCGTAACTACTCAGCATGCATTTTTTAATTGCATGCACGCGAGAAGTCTTTTGAATTTCTTTTAAAAATGCCTTTTTTTTTAATACCACACTCCATAGGTCAGCTACGTATACTTGAAATATTCAAGCTGTCAATCCAAATGATTGCCTGCATCATAATCATCATAGACAAGATATGGAGAAGCAGATGTTCGGCCTTCTTCCAAAACGTAACGCAAATATCTACGTTATTAAAGTGTAAATTCAGTCTAACTCAGTTAATTGAAACTGTAAACTATCAAACAACACACAAGAAGTGGAACAGCAAAAATAGTTGGGAAAAAACTGGAATTTTCAAAGCCAACAACGATAAAATCTGTTTAAATTTCTAGTATGCAATGTAAAATAAATATACTTGCAATTGTATACTGGCACAATGAAGTGACTTTTCTTCAACACTAGGCAAGTTTCAATCTTTATTCAGTTAGAACGTTTTGCTATACATTTACGTTTCGGGCATTTGCCCCTCTTCAGCCAACTAAATATATATAAAATATTATATGGATACAACCGAGCACAAATAAAAAACTAAAAAACGTACAAAAATTTTTTGTGAAACATACCTCACTTCGATACAAACACCAAATATACAGTAGAACACCAGACGACCCATAGGTTTACATAACGTTTCCACCATAAATTCCGTTTNTTTCTTCTATGTTAAATAAAATTTGTAATCTAATTTTGTAAATTTGGGAGTGCTTCAAACAAGACGTTAAGACGGTTTTATGTCGTTACAAGTGGGTTTTTTTAACATTATCTACTATAGTAAAACGATAAAAATTTCACGTTATATTAGGTTGTGGTTACATTCGATGACGTTATAATCGGGTTAAACTGTATATTGTTTGTGCAAAATAAAAAAAATAATTTCGGACGATTCAATAGCCATGATTATTTTTTTCAAAAACGGGAAATTTTCGTTACCCATCGACAAAAATTCAATCCGGGCCGACACGCAAGGGAGAGAAATTTCGAAATCGGATAGGTTAATTTCATCGAAAATGCATCGTGGACGACCTCGTGGTCGTGGCCAGCGAAGTTTGAACGATCGCGCCCAAAAGCAGCGATACCAAAGAAGATTGGAGAATGAAAACGAGATTCGCATTGAGCTTCAAACTGATTTCGCTTAGTAGTGAGTCTCCCAGACATAGTCTTGTCCCAAATACGGTTTTGCCGTTTTACTTGTTTATTTTTAAAACCATATTATTAAACAATTAAATAATACAGTAGAACCCCTGGTTATCTAAGATAATGTGGACTAAAGACAGCCAGGACTATTTCAGATTAAAAATTACAAATACAGAAGATTTATATGGTAAATCACTTTTTATACCATAGTAAATGTAATCATGTATATGAATATCAATTTTATGCCAATTATTATACATATAATGCCTACAATAGTTTTAAGGATAAAATTATGTATTTTTGTAGTACATTTTAATATGAATGGTTTGTGTAATTTAACATTAAAGTTAAATAATACAAGGTTAAGGATTATACCAATAATTCTCTGGCGATTGTGTAAACATATCTCATTGAATAATGTGTTACGCATTATTTTGTTTTCACAAATTTTCATTCAATGTATTATAGATTATAGTTTATCGATTTAGGTCATGGCTGCCCGATCTCTTTTAAATAAAACTGTGAGAGGCCAGATGAGATGAAAATTATAATTAATTACAACAAAATATATAATTTATTTAGACTAGTGCTTAAAATTCACATAATTAAAAAAAAAAAGATTCTTAAACAAACTTAAAATTTTGTATTCATAACATCCTTCAAAATTAACTTAAAAAAATTAATAATATACTGTAAAAATATAAAATAATA